ACCCCCCAACCCGGCAGGAGGGGTGCGGGGCGCGCACACACACCCCCCCCCGGCAGAGGGGGGGGGCAGAAACATCCCCTCCCAGCAGAGGGGGGGGCGCACAAACATCCCCTCCTACCCCAGCAGAGGGGGGTGCGTAGCTGCTCTGGAGGGTTACACTACCTAGCTGGCTGTTCAACCACAGTGCACGTTCCTGAAAGTTGAGCAGTCACATCATTGTCTTCATCATCACCGTTTGATACAGTTGGCAGCTTTGAAATGGCAAGAACCCAGGCTTAGCCAGTGAACATGGTGCTCCATTCCCATCCCACACTCAACGCACTGTTTCTACACAACGCCTTGCCCCTGCCACCCCACAACAATACACTGATTCTCCCCCTTCCCCCACAAAATACACAGACCCTCCCCACCATCCCCCCCACCCCCACCCCCACCCCCTCACAGTCCAGAACGCTGAGCTGTGCCTTGTCAGCTCTAGGGTTACCCAGGAGCCACTCCTCACTCCAAACGCCGTACCCTCATTCCCCATGCGCCCGTCACTCTTGGACCTCAGGGACAATATTGATCATGAGTTCCTCGCTTCCTCTGCGGACCACCACAGTCAGAGAGTTCTCCCGGTGAACTGCCTGGTAAACATCTTCTGCCGTCTTCACCACACGGCCATTTATCTCCACGACAATGTCTCCCGGCCTCACCCCAGCTCTGTCCAGACAGGGAGTTGTTGGGGGTGGGGGGGAGACAGAGAGAGAGGGGACATCAGCACCAGGGAGCAGCTCAGCAGGACGGGCACTGAGGGGCTGATCGGGAGGTGAGGGATGATGGCGTGTGGGGCAGAGAAAAAGAGAGACAGGAAGAGAAGAGGAAATTTGGCGAGCGAGGAGGCAGACAGAGAAAAATAGGAGGGTTGGAAGAGGAGGATGGGAAGAGAGGGTTTAGGGAGAGTGTAGAGGAGGGTAATGGGGAAACAGGGAGGGGTTGGGACATGTGTGAGAACAGAGGGAGAAGGAGAGGGCGCAGTGAAGGGGGTAACAGGGTCCTAGAGTCACACAATAACCCCCCTCACGCCCACCAAACACCACGTTCCCATCTCCAGTATCTCTCTACCCCCAAAACCCCAACCCCAGCACACCCTCTCCAACAGCCCAGCCCCATCTTAAAAACTCCATCGCCTACCCTATACACTCCTCACCCCAATGGCTCCAATAGCCCCTCCCCATCTCCAACACCCTCTCCCCGTCTCCATTAGCTTCTCCCATGTTCTGAAGTCCCATTGCCCCATCCTTTCCCAAATACCTCTTTCACCGTCTCCCGTAACCCTCACCATTCACAATACCCCATGTGTCCCCAGTCGCCCATCACAGATACACCTGCTCCCGTGCCCACATCCTAGCCCTAGTTACCCTCTTCCCAATACCCATTCCCGCCCTCTCCAAAAAGCCTCTTTCTCCAGCCCCTGCTGTTACTCACAGATATGCCGGGGATCCAGTGATCACTTTGTGGATTAAAACGCCGTGGGAGACATTTGGGAATCTGGGATCTCGCAGTTTCAGCTCACTCAGGATTCTGAAATGTTTCAGAGCAATCCAAATCAGGTGAGCTTCTGAAATACCCATCCCTTCCCAAAAACATTCTCATAACAAAGTCAATAAAAGTGGAGCTGGAAAAGCAGTTGGTCAGAGAGCATCCGAGGAGCAGGAAAGGCAATGTTTCAGGGTGAAGCCTTTCGTCAGGATGAAGGGTTTCAGCCCGAAACATTGACTTTCCTGTTCCTCAGATGCTTTTCCAGCTTCACATTTATTGACTCTAACTTCTAGCATCTGCAGTCCTTACTGCCTCCAATTCTCATACCAAAGTACACCTTAACTGTAAATACCTCTTCTCCCCTCAGCCTTCCTTTCCTTTACTCAATCACGGGATAAGGGTGTCGCTGGCTAGGCAGCATTTAACTGCCCTCTGGGCAATTAGGGATGGGCAATAAAAGCCAACCACATTGCTGTGGGTCTGGAGTCACATGTAGGCCAGACCAGGTAAAGATGGCAGTTTCCTTCCCTAAAGGACATTAGTGAACCAGATGGGATATATTTTTGACAATCAAGAATGGTTTTTACAGGTTTCATTAGACTCTTAATTGCACATTTATAAGGAATTCATCTGGACCCACATGGGCCTGTTGATGAACAGGTGAATGATATACCACTAGGCCATCACCCTCCATAGACAGGTTGGCGAACACAGCACAGGGCCTGCATTGATTCAAGATGGCAGCTCATTACCACCTTCTCAAGGGGCAACTAGGGACAGGACCAACAGATTCTGTGACAGAAATAGGATCACAAACAGACAAGGGGTAGGTAGTGAACTGAAAACTTACTGAGGGGTGAGAGTCAGCATCAGGACCCCAATGTATCGATGTTTCGTTTCCATTCCGAACCAGGACTCTGCAAAAAAACATCACGCCACTGAAAGTACGCAACCAATCACAGACCATTACCC